GCAGCGCCCCCTGCCGCGCTGGAGGCCGCCTGCGCCCGCGTCGGAGGCCGCCAGTGACATGGCGGAGAGACAGCAGGGGAGGGGAGCTGCACCCTGCGGACCGGGCCGGGCCGGGCCAGCCTCGCTCAGCACAACCCAGCTGACATGCAGGTCCAGGGGCAGCCTGGCCAGGCTTCGCTCGGCGCCCTCGGCAGCGCAGACAGGCATGGCCTGCCTTGTTCAAGCCATGGCTCACCCTCTTCCGTATCAAATCATTGCATCAGACGCTCAAAACCGGCCCTGTTCTCTGAAAACTAGCGTGCGCAGAAAGATTCCGCAAGTAAAAAAGTGAGGGAGGGATTTGCACTCAGGCAAATGCCAAAGAAATGTGTGAGGGATGGATTTGGTCTGAGAAATGCCCAGCTCTAGAACTCTTGGTTCAGAGAGATGCTTTTTCTTAGACCGATGGTTTTATTTTTATTTTTTATTTTTTTTGCGATTTCTTAGTTGGCCTAAGAAAAGGTGGCATCTCTGAACCAAGAGTTTGGCATTAAATTCGTTGTCTCCTTTACTTTATATGGCTCGCTAGAGCTCGCTGAGTAATGACTGAGAACGGGGTCAAAGTTGAAGCATTTCCTTCCTTCGAGGCAAACAGTCATAAGAACGTGTTGATAGCAAACCCAAAAGTCGATTTGGCCTCGTGTGGGCTAAGATCAAGTGTAGTCGCTGCACTGGTTCAATACCCAAGCGGAAATGGATTTAAAATGGCATCGTGTAGAAATGAAGGGTGCAGCCTGGCCCAAATGCGGACAGGAATTCCTGTGAGAGCCTTGGAGTTAGCTTTTCTGCAGAGCGGCTGTTTAGCCAGTCGGTCCCCAGCCTGTGCTGGGGCATGGGATTGATCTGTCCAAAGTGCAGCACTTTGCACTTGTCCTTACTGAACCTCATGAGATTTCTTTTGGTCCAATCCTCCGATTTGTCGAGGTCTCCCTGAATTCTAGCCCTACCCTCCAATGCATTTACTACTCCCCCCAGCTTGGTGTCATCTGCAAACTTGCTGAGGGTGCACTCCATCCCATCATCCAGGTCATTGATGTTATAAAGTATATCAATGTAACTATAGCCACACTGTTAAATTTATTATTTTAATTATTTTGTAGATACAACCAAACACCACAGGAAGAGATGCAGGAATAATGTTTTTATTGGCATTTTGTTTTGTTTTGTTTATTTTAGATTTATGCCCCACCCTATGCAAAAGGTTCAGAATGGCTTTGATTGGCAGATTCACTGAGTGCCAAAATGGTCACTGGAAATCCTAAAAGATGATTAAGTTTTGTTTTATGACTAACAGATGGTTCCTCTTTTCAACATAAGGAACTCTCTGGGCCCTCTGTAAGTATGAAATAGATCACAGCTGTTTGTTTATTTCAGCTCTTACTTTATTTACTGTTTTATTATACACTAAAACATTTCAAATCTCTGAATCTCTCCGAATTGATTCAGAGGTTTCTGATTCGATTTGGAGAGATTAAAGGGTCCTCTGATTCTATTC